TCGCCCTTCTAAACGCTGCCTTTCTAAACGCTGCGTTTTGTGCGTACAGCTAGCCTTGGGCACCGAAACGTATTCCGCACGTTTGGTGTGTGCCTTTGTACGAACTCTGAGCTTCTTGGACTGGGATCTAAGGCCATGCGTGCTTTAGAAAAGGCGATGGGGAGCTTGGTGCTCATTTAAATGTCCCTCGAAGCAGACAAAGCCGCTGAGGGTACAGCTCTCAATAGATTGTCCTGGGACAGGGGACAGACTTCCCTCTCTCCTTCCCAGTTCCTGAGGCGACAGCAGGTTCTTCAGTTATACAGGAAGATCCTGCGGGCTATTCGCGAGGTCCCTGCGGAAGCAGATCGCCGGTATTTAAAGGACTGGGCCAGGGAGGAATTCAGAAGAAATAAAGGTGCTACAGAAGAGGTGAGGGTCGGGAACCCGCAACCCTGACCGCCTGCCCTCGGGAACGATCAGTGCGCCGTCCTGTGCTTTGTCACGTGGGTTTGTTCTGTAGGTGTCACTTCTAGACTGGCGAGAAGGCTCCTGTTGTTACTGTCTCTTAAGAAGCATTTACGTGAAGAATAATTTGGCATCTCTAAATATTATCCCCCCTGTTGGCGGTAGTAATGTTTGCGTGATTTCCAGATAATAGTCTGGAATGAAAAAGCTAAAAAACAAACAAATCCTGCTTACTCAGCCCACAAATCAGAAAAATTGTATTGAATAATACGATAACTAGCAAACGTATTAATGGTCAAGCTTTCTATAGCTTCTTTTTTTCATCTTTAATTTCAACTATATTCAAGCTGAACACAGTCAAATGGGATGGTTGTGGATATGAAGCATGTATGAAATGCAGAAACCTTTCCATTTCTCGTATGTCTCCTGTCCTCTCTGCTTTCTGGTTTGTTCCTTTTTCTAGCCAGTGCCCAAGGAATTGGTGGCTGAGTTTTTTTTTCAAAGCATTACAGTACTTGGATAAAAAGAACGTTGAGAGAAACATCTGCTTGCGCTGTAAAGCACCCGTCTCCATAATGCCCATGTGCAGCTGTCGCTACCTACTTGCAAAGGCAGTAGACACAGAGGCGTAAAGAAAACATTTTGAGGGGTTCAGATGCAGTTCGAAACTGAGTTTTAAAGCAAAGCCATAACCAGCCCCCAAACACATCATTAAGGAATTGGAGAGAATTAATTCATTTATGCACCTGTTTTTTTAACCGTCTCAGTGACTATAGCATTACTTCACACACAGAAATAGATCACAGTAGTGCTGGTAAGAGCTGTATGTATTTTAATGGGTTAAAATCTGCGTGCTTGTGTAAAACCTGCGCTGAGTACGGACGTGCAGTTCAGTAGATTCCATTTTGTTTTATAGGACGCAATCAGGATGATGATTACTCAGGGCAACATGCAACTTCAGGAACTTCAAAGAACGCTTAAGCTGGCAAAATCCTGATCTTAATTTTGTTGACAGCTGGACTTTCATCTGCTGCGAACAAGCATAGTATTTTTTCTGGAATGTGGTTATAATAACAGCCTTTGCTGACAACCTGGTCATGTTTGAAGGTGGAATCTACCGCAGTGGGGGGGGGTTTGTTTGTTTTTTTCCCCTTCCCCTTCCTCTTCTCGGTTTGGTTACCCTCCCGTGTGGAAATCACTCAGACACAAAGGACTTTAAAGACCTGAATGGATGATGTAGCATGTGCTGTAGGAAAAACAGAAAGCACCAAAAATTACAACAGCAGTGTTAGGTCAAGGAAATGGAAAATAAATAGAAGCCAGATTATTTTGTCTGTTTTCTATTGTGGCAACTCAAGTGGTAATATTCATAGTGGTAACAGCTCTTCCTGTACTGTGCCAAGGATTTTTACCAAAATTTGGGATTAAAAAAGCATTTGGGATAAACAAACGGGCCCAAAACAAATAAACATGATAAAACATTAAAAGAAAATGTTTTGTATGTAGATGTTGATTTTCAGTTATAGCTGAATAAAACTTAAAAGGGGAGGTCTTTATACATGAAAATGAGAGATTTTAGCCCCAGAAACAGTTATTACCAAGTTAACAGGATTACATTCAAGTTAGTATTTAAAAGTCAGTATAAAGTAGAATTACAAATAGAGAATACTAACTGCAAATACTGTCGTCCGTTTTTCCAGATGCCGTATTACTCCATTTCTAACTGTTAGCTTGCAATTGTTCTTACCTTCCTGTGAATTGCAGTATATCTCTCCCCACCCCCCGTATAATATAAAAATGCCAAGGCGAGTCTGGGATTGTCTCAACATAAGTAGCCAGACAACAGTAGCTAGCTGTGACTATCCAGCAGCTGTGGGCGGTTTAGGTTGTGGTTTCAAGAGAGGCAGGAACCCTTCCCTCTCCCGCTCCGCTATTACAGTTCGCTCGGGGGGCCACCTCCCCTTGCCAAGGCGGCTTTCTGCCCAGTTCGTGAGCCGGACTGCCTGACAGCAAGTCCGGTCCGTGCCGCCGCTGGCACGAGGGAAGGGACGGGACAGCATTCCCCTTCCAGGCTACCGGAAGGAAGGAAGACCCCACTCGGGTGCAGGAAGTATGCTTCCTGCTGCAGCCAAACGAAGGGTCTTCAAAGCTACACGCTTCAGCAAAGCTGCTTTGCAAAAAGCTGCTGCTCAACAAGAAAGAATGCCGTGGGGTTTTTTTTTTCCTAATTCTTCTGAAAGTCGTTGTAGAATCCTTTCCAGTGATGTTTATTTAGCTTTGCAGTAAAGGACGTGGCTCAGGCAACCAGTGAGGCTGCTAAAGAGTTGAGGTTTGTACAGACAGAAGCCTTTGAGCTTCTCGTCAGTCAGTGAAAAATAGGTACGTCTAAATATTTTGTTAAAGATCTAAATTTTCTTAATGTTTTCTGGTAGAATACACTGACAGAACATTAGTGTGTTGGGGATAGATTTTTTACGTGACCAGAAAATGCTGTTTAGAAAGGAAGCTTGCCTAAACAAAGCCGTAATCGGTGTCGGCTTGTTCTTAAACGTAGCCTTCCCTTTCCCTTCAGCCAGTGGTTTGATTTCTGCTCCTTAATTAGGAGACTTTCCCCTGCCGCCTCATCGCAGTGCTTTCCATTCGGACCCCTGAGTCTGCCTTACTCCTTTGACTCCGGTTCCTACGTTTCTAGGTTGTGGCCACATAATCCAGGAATAGGTCTTGGCAGGCAGTGCCCTGGACAGCCACTGACCTCCCGAGTGCTGCTGCCTGTCATCTCCACTGCTTTGTGGGCTTGTCAAGATAAAATTGCCTGCCAGAAGCCTTGAGGAGCCCAAGTACAGACTGCTAGGGTAAGTAAATTTACTCCAAGTGTGCGCTGCAGAGAAGGGTAGGTAATACGGGTATTTTGTAAGGAAGTCCGTCAACTGGAGTAGTTTTGAAGGAGGGAGGACTACAGAGGGAAGTAGAAAGGAATTAGCAGAAAATGCCTCCCTTTATTTTACGGTACCCTTGTTGGCTTCAGAAAACCTCTGAAATCAGTACTCTGCAGCCAAGTTACTGTCTTAAATTACTGCTCCCTTAGTTACTGTACATTACCGCTCCAATGGCTACCTCGGTAGTGTAGGTCGTACGTGAAGCAGATTAGCTAAAGCCATAGCCTTTCCGTTGCCCTTGCACTCGTGCAAGCTCGGGAGCGTGCGTGTGATCAGCTGCACAATTCGGCCCTGTGCCAGTAACTTCCAAAACGGTGGGTGCGTGCATCCGCTAACGGGTGGCAGTCGGTCCCTGCAGCCTCCCTCGGGACAGACGGTAGACCCGCTTTCCACGTTCTACAGCAATAAACGCAAAAGCTTAGAAGTCGAAGTCCAATTTTCTGCTTCCCCTTCCGAGGCAAGTGAGGGGATTTTGTCAGTTTTCTCTGGCTAGAAAAAACATGACACCACAGACTTCCAAGCAACGCAGACTTCTGAGCAACACTTATTTTAATTGCTTGGCAAAACATTCACTTTATCAAGATGATACAAAACTTAAATAGCGTGCCTCTGCGTTCCTACAGTAGCTTAAACAAAACTGTAAACGTATGAAAGTGTCTATTTTAGACTACAGAAGTCAGAGCAATAAAACTAGTGTTTCCATAACAGCAGATACACTTTTCTTGTCTTGATAGTGCATTAACAGGTGCTTTAAAAATATTGTTATATAATACAATTTTCTTTGCTTTATACATCTGCTAAGAAGATGAAAGCTTAATTATTGATTAGTCAGTGGCATGTTCAATACTGTAAAGTATTTTGTATTGATTTTAGGGTTCCTCGGTACAGAAAAAAAATCTCTTTCTCGGCATAACAGTACTATCCTGTATCCGAATTGGTTTTGAACAATGGTTCTATCATGATCTGTTAAGTAAACTTACTTTTCTGACAGAATCTGATGGAGCCTTCTCAGAGGTTAAGGAGGAAACCCTAACGGGGTGCAGATGCAACGAGTTACGGTGCCTCTGGTTTATTTGGAGTCTGTCAGCCTGGACGACATTGCTCATTCTAAGTTTTGATTTTATAACAAAAGGCATCCTTAAAAACTGTAAGATGGTGTTGAGTTCTATTTTGTGGGACTGTTTGTGAAACCACTCCTAAGACCTGCAGACTCACCAGGGCCCGGCTTCTCTTTTTAGAGATACAAGGGAAAAAACAGAGAGGAATCATTCAGAGGAACGAAGGAAGACAGTCTGGACAAGGTGTCTGGGAGAAAATCCTGACTCTGCAGAAAAAGAAACATCTGAGTACAGGGAACCAGGCTTTCACTTCTTTATCTGAAGAACTTTTTCAAGCTTCTTCAGTAGTAGAGAATTCAGCCATTTGCTGCTTGAAGGAAAAAAGTTTTATATAAAAATTACACCTAACAGGTAGAGAGCATGGTTATGGTAAAATATTTGCCATCCATGCCCTCAACAAAACTTCTCAGTCAGATTACTCGAGATGGCCCCAACAACCGTGTAACCACAAGGAGCTTTGCAACCAGGACACCATTAAAAAAAAGACAAACCTAATTTAGCATTTGTTTCAATAATGTAAAACCAAAAGAAAAGCAAGGTGGCAACCACAGCCTCTGTGCCTAATGGAATGAGTCACCTTAGCATCTTACTCGGTGGGAGCCTGGCCTCTCCCGGCTGGAAGCCTGCATCTGTCACCTACGTGGGCTTGTAATTTGAGTTGGTTCTGTAGCCTCTCTCCCCTGACTACAGGGAGGCCGTGGGCAGTGTCTAAAATAGTATCAGCTGCCCTTCATCACTAAGGAATTTCTGTCAAAAGCTCTCAAACATCCTGGATTTCAGTATTGGTATCGCCACGTGTTTACATGTAGCATACAGTGGAACCCTCTAGCCACACATGACCTATGTGGAAATAAGGAAATTCCTTTTTCAGAAAGCAATTTTGGTTTCTAATGCAGTGTGTTTTCAAGCAGCACCTGGAAATTGAGAGTGCAATATTTAACGGACTCTTGGAAATAACAAAGGAAGGGTCTAATCTGCAGCATCTCGTTGTCATCAGTACAGTCTGCATATGAATTCTCCTCGGTTCTGGAGTTTCCAAAGTTATTTCTACTCCTGAAAAAGAGCATTTTGTTTGGATGTACCAGGCACTACAAATGTATATATATCTAACAATATTTCAGATTCCTGTACAGCGGGTTCCAAAATGAGTCGCATTGCTTGTCTTTACCTGCTTGGTAGATGCTAGCTCTCTTTCTGCACCTTAGTCCTTAATTTGCTGAGCTCCTCTTCTAAGCTTTTAATATGTTCCTTGAGCGCAGCTTTGTCTTGCTGCGCTTTCTGATTAGCTTGGCACCGGGCTTCTTCTATCTTCCGTTCATACCACTTCTCCATCTGTGTGGAAACAGCCTCGAAGAAGTACTGTGTTATCTCCAGGGCCTGGGAGGTGTTTCTCAGCGGAGGGGCAGGCGGCTGTCCCGCAGGCAGGGCAGAGGGCTGCTGCTCCTGGCTGTGATGTGCCCCGGCGGCGTGGTGCAGAGCTTTGTGCCTTGACTGCCCGCTTTTGCTGGACTTCTTTGTCTGAGTTCCTTTGTCAATGAAGTAGCCGCTCTGTGGTTCAGTCTTTGCAGGTTCAGTCAAGGGCTGCAAAGCAGCTTGAACCTTAACGTGTCTTAATTTGGACCCCAAAAGCTCGGAGGGGGGCAGCTCCTGCTGGAACCTGTGGAACGTGCTGGCACTAACAGCTTTGTCCTTTGGCCTGACGTCTTGAGCAGGGGCAGAAGAAACTGGTCCGCCAATGATTAACTGTTGCTCTGTACCTACAGAATAAAATATATACATATGTATTTAGAAAAGCTCTGGGCATTTATTTTAGCATTCAGAAATCCTCATTGTTCGATGAACGACGCGGTTTCCCGTGTACCGTGCTGTGTGTACTTTGTAGAGGCTTGTATTAGTTTATCGCATCTTCACGGTCAGGTGATACAACAGAGAGTCATTAAAAGAGAAAAGCTGGCTCAGGCAGAGAGGCACTGCATTGCGGCTGCGGGACTACAGACTGACAACAATCAAAGGACATCACCAGAAGGACGTGTAACAAAGATCAGGCTAGATTCCCAAAGTAGTTTATGTCTGCTGGTATTTATGAACCCCCTGCTTCTACCAGAATTGAAGCCCCACTAATTTTGCAAAGATAACACATTTTGATGCTCCTGAACTGTTCAGTGCATGCCAACTGTTCATGCTGCCACAAGATCTCCTGTGTGGTCTTCTGCCTTTCTAGTCTGATGGGGTATCCGTGTCCATGTCTGTTTACTTTGCATAGTGTTTTGGGGGGCATATACAATGCCCCCCAGGGCACTGATAGCTCTGGGGGGCTTACAGAAGCCCAGGGCATCGATAGCGCTCTCCTTGGCTGTGGAGACTTGGGCATTCTGCCCATTTCTTTTTTCCTCAGAAGCTTCCCTGGCCAAGCACAGAGAGGTGGCTTGAA